TAGGCAACATTTTTCAAATGTTAGCAAAGTAGTATTTTTGAAACATTTTAATGATGTTGCCAATATTTTGTTAATTTTATAAAATAATAATTAATTTTAATTTAGATATATTATTATCAATTATTATATTTTTATGTCTCTTAAACTCTTTTAAGAGAAGATTAAAGACATTCTTAATTAGTTACCACTAATTATATATAAAATATCAAATTTCATTTATCTTAAGTACAACTATATGGTTATATATATTCTTTATGAGTCATTAATTTATTCAATGTGGGACTATAATTATAGGTAACAATTAGAGATAAGAGAAATATATTTTTTTTACTCAATGTGGGACTTTGATTTTAGAAGCAATTATAGTAACATTTTTCAAAAAAAATGTTGCAAAATAACCTATGTGAAATTTTTTTATTCGATGTGGGACTTTTATTTTGAAAACAATTAGAAAGAATAATATTAAAATAAAAAAATGTTACTCTATCTATAATGACATTTTTTAAAAAGTGTTGCAAAATAACCTATTTGTTTAATATATAGTAACATTTTAACAAATGTAAGCAAAAAAATGTTGCTAAATAATTAAAATCTAGTAGTGTATATATATATATATATATAAATAATTCTCAATTCTTACTTTACATGTTTTTTAAATTTGAGTTAAGCGCAAAAATCCATTTTTTTTAAAGAAGAATTGAGGTAAAAATTAATTTTTAAATGCTATCTTATTCCACCAAGACTTGTTTTTGAATTAAGAGAAAATGGTGAGAGTTGTATGAGCATCAAATTGGTAGTGGACTTCAAGTGAGAATATTTATCAAAATTCCAAAATAAAAAAATCTAAAATAAGGGTTGGAAAAATGAAGTGTGTTATAATTTTGAGTTACGTGGTGATGTTGGCACATTAATGTGTGTAAGTAGTAGGAGCTTATATTCTTCACATGTGGGTGTGAAGGAAGGGCTTGGTGGCGGCATGTAGGGGTGGGGCTGTAGCCTGTAGGTAGGTACGATGTGGCCCCAGTACTTTTGTGGCAATATTAGGGTTTCTTTTGTACTCACATCGGTCTTTACTCCTTGAGCTGAGTCTCCGAGTCATGACCAAAACCCAATAATAATAGTTGCGTCTTCACACGGGTATTTCCTTCCACCATAGAGAATCACAAAGTAGAGATCACGAAACAACCTCAAATACTCTTTTGTTTGCTAGCTTAAATATTAATGGGTCCACTCATGAAAAATTAAATACCCTTTGTGCCACGCCCACAACAAATTTGAGACACACTACAATACACGCTTCTTAATTTTTGAATTCATTGATATGGAGAATTATGGAAGTTTTAAATTCAACTCTTAGAGCCATTCTTTTTCCATTTTTTTTTTCAAAAAGGAAAAAAACTCTTAAATTATTCTTGAGTCATGGCCGTACCATGTTTCAAAACTTTTAAATAATAGCCTCATAATTCAGATCCAATTCGAATGATGTTATGTATAATAATTATCTAAAATATGAAGGACAGCAAAAATTGTCTCGTTTTTTATGTACAAATAAACATTTCTGTTTGAATAAAGTACTATTTGTATGCAACTATATTTTAATCCTTTTATGATGATGCAACTGGCTAGATCTTAGTTTTGATGATTGGTACGTATGAGTTATGAGTTATGCTTGTACTATATTTACACATATCGGTTTCACCTTTGCTATCTTTTTCCCTGGTCTCTTTTTGACACATTCTAACTACATTGAATTGTTTAAGTAGGAAATCTTAGTCCTTTTTTCAGTGTTTTCTTCTTTTCGGGTCATTTTCTTCAGGAAAGAAATTGGAGTAAGAAAAGAATGGGACAACCATCCCATGATAACAATATTGAAATAGATAGAACACACACAAAGGGACCATACCCGTCCATTTAAAAATAAAATAAAATTAAAAAAAGAAACCCTTTTAATATTTTATATTGTATGATATAGTCCCACCCGTATGCATAGACAGGGTGAGTTCAGTATCGTAAGATGGCAGTGACCCTTAGGATTTATACTATGATGTGATGCATAACATTTATATATATGTGGTTACTTCAAAATCAACAGAATCCAAATCCATATAGGGGACAACAATAGGGCTTGTACATGTTTTTGCAGGTTATTGGCCAGTTGTGTCAGTTGTTGTTATTATGATATGGGTTAAAAATTCAATGACCTGATTATGACACAAATTAGAAGGCTAGCTTTGTAATCTAAAGTTAATTAGTTGTTTAATTATATAATATCATGTCATAGTTCTCCATTGTTTCTCTAGGGAATATCATATCATATCCAAAGTATGTAATTGAATTCCGTGTCACCATCATCATGATGATAACCTCCACCTTAGTCGATTCTTGGATTCTATCATGGTTTTACTTTTCTAAATCATACACCAAGGGACATGCATCCAATTATACGGCACAAGTTATTGCTTAATCCAAAGGGAGGAATTTGAACCTTTCAAGTTTCCTTTTGCATTAATTCTCACTTTGAAAAAAAATCTTGCACTCGTATGTACGCACGCAAACCTTCTTCTATTTCAACTATTACATCATTGTACATGACCCTTAAAGAAAGTTAAACATAATTCTCACCTTTTTAATTTCTTTCCAATTGTTTACTCACATTTTCTATTTTTTATGAAGAATTAATATGAAATATATAAAAGCGTGGAGAGCTGGCAAGAAAAGAGAATTTAAATTGTAAAGGAGATGCGTTTCCCTTGGGAAAAAGAGTATATGTCCATTATCATCATGTATTATTAGCTATGTTATTCCTCAGATTATGGCTATTATTAAAAACTTTTTAAGTGGAATAATATATTCCAGAAACTACAAAACGAGTCATTCTTTCAGTCGTCGTGAGAATAAAATAAACCTACTTTTTGATAAGGAAGAAAAAAGAGAAAAGAACTACATGCATCTCTTGCTCTGATGAGCTACTCAAGAGAGATTCTTCATCATTCTGTACATTCAAGTACACATTGAAAACTATATATATGCTTCTGACATGAATATTCATAAGTAACAGGGCATACCCTAGCCTTTTGTTCTCGTTTTAACATGTGTCCTTAGGAGATCCAACGTGCTATATTTATATATTATATATATTACTATCTGTGAAAATTAAGCCAGTTTGTTTAATGGCGAATTGAGTGAGAACAAAAAGTTGCAACGAGGTTTCATGAAAGAATCCAAGAGAAGCATATGAAATTGTGAAATAAATACTATATATTCATGACATTGATCTCTACGAGAATGACAGGTTGTGATTACAAAAAGGCCATTCATAGAACAACTCTATATAGTATATTAATAGCGCCTACCACTTTTCTTCTTTGGGGGTGGATGATACATAATAACATAAACTACATGAATGAATGTTCCCAACTTCGAAAATTTGAAAATTTTAGTCCTATTAACATCACAAGGCCTTAAATCTGTCACTGCTCATTCTTACACAATAATAGTTACTGATGGTGATTGAGAACTTTTCTGGGATGTGGAAAATTTATATGGACGTTGCTGTCCTGGATTTATTTAATTAATATGGTCATTATGCGTCTTTCCATGCAAATCATGGGATTACCTCACTCACACTTCTTGAAAGGGGTATTAATTGCTAATTATTTATTTCAATTCCGGTTCATAAGGATAATTTAAGAAAAGAGATTTTTGAATTACTCTATGGTTATTCCATTTTTATTTTTGTGCATCTATACATGTGATCCTTTGGGAGTCATCAAAGATTGTTTAGGAAAAAGTATGGATGGCTTTGAAATAATATGAATATTTCTTGGGAAACGTGAGAGAGGATAAGAATATTAAAAAAAATATAAATATAAATAATTTCTTAACTTTAAATTACAATTTTTTGTTGATTGTGTATTTGTCACGAGGAATTAATTTATAGGAAGAGTATATATTAGGAAGAATCAATCTTATCTTATAACTATTTCTTGTAAACATACTTATTATGTTCTGGTTAATTAAAAAAAATTAATACTATTAACATTAAATTAATACAATAGATGCCTTTAAAATAAATACAATAAAATAAAATCATGTTTGATTTTTATATAAAATAATGAATAACTATAATTTATATCTTAGGTCAATAAAATTATATAATAACAAATTTCATTTTAAGGACATGTTTGGTTCAACTAATATGATTCACGTTTTTATCAAAATACACATAAAAAAGATGTAAAAGTAACTAATAGTTATTTTGGACAACTTACCCCTATCCAAACACGTTCTTACACTAATTGTCTTCTTGAGACCCATTGATGATGCCTGAGCCTGATATAGGTCTGATGCATAAAAGCCAAGGTGGGACCACATACTGAGGAGTCATGATAATTATACACATCATGCATGCACTTGTTCGGACCCATTACTTTTATAACCCCTCCTTTAATTTCCCCTTTTTTTTTTTTTCGCTTGTGGTCACTCTTTTGGTGAATTTACAAATTCATATAATGATATAGGAAAATTTTTGGAGATATTCATTTCGAGTGAATTTGCTTAGGAATATTTCTGGAAAATAGCTTGAATAAATAAATTATATATATATAATAATAAACTTTTAAAGCATTAAAGTAGGTGTTATGGTAGTTGGTTTTGTGTTCCTTGGCAATTTAATTGCTTTATCTTCAAACTCAGTCATCCAACCACAAAAAATACCCACATAAGTTTGAAAGAAAAAAACATGGAAAATTGTGAAAACGACAAGAAGATATTTAATGGAGAAATGAGCAATTGGATCCCTCCACCCGCTCGTTGTCCGTCATCATCATCCTCCTTTTCATTATTTTATTATTAAAATTACTATTAAACAAAAACAATTAATTAAGTTTTGTAGAAGAAGACGTTTCCTCGTTTTTCAGCAGTTGGTGACTTTTTGCACCCCTTGTTTCCATTATTTACACACATTATTTTATTTTATACATCTTGGTTTCTTATCCCAACCATTTCAAAAGTTCCTTGATGCTCATCAAGGGGTGTTAGGCTGCATTAGAAAAGAGAGGGTCAAATCAATAGAACTTCCCCTGTTTTGATCTGTTCGCAGGTACTTCTCCCGATAAAAGGCCACAGAAAGATAAAGAGATAACAACAACATGAACATGTTTCACTCCAGTGTTTTTAGTAATAATAATAGTAATAATAATAACGCTCAGAATTAAATTTTATAAAAAAAAATATTTTTTTTTTCAGGAAAATGAGTGGATAATAAGATGAATAAAGATGGGTATCTTTTCCCCCAAGTCTTTTTAACCCCATCTCTCTCTTTAACTCCTTTTTATTCCACTTTCAGTTGGGGTGGAATTGCAGGTGACACTGTGACAGAGAGCTTTTCCTCTTGCAAGTGAAGGCACTGATACAACACTACACACACATGTTTTGACAGGTGTGTAGTTTGATGCATGTATCTATATCTGCTAATGATGTTTACTTCTCTTTAGCCATAACTGTATTTGCTTTGGTGGGTGAGACTATGTGTGCGTGTTGTGTGTACCTCCTTGTCTCTGTCTCTTTCTCTTTCTCTCTGTCCCAAATCCGTTCCTCATAGGTTTCGGGTCATTTTAATTCTAAATTCTTCTTTCCTTTCTGCAGAGACGATCATGAACCACGTGCACACTTCAATTTCCCTCACACCAGGTACTACCTAGCTACTACCATATCATTAATTTCTTTATATAAATTATCAAATCTCTCCCTAACCCCTTTCTCTCTGTCTCTCTCTTCCCTTTATCATAAAGCCTTCAAGTATTTCACACTCCGCTTTCATTTTCAAGTTTTTGACCATGCCATAAAAAGAGTGTGCACCAACATAGGCGAAACCAGTTTCATCTATAACTTAATTTGGAACGAATAAATCAACATATTAAGCGTGTTAAGCTTTTTACATAATTCTTCATTCTCCCCTTCTTCTTCACTTTCTCAGGATCTTTTGTGTCAGAAGACTAACAAATTAGCTTCAATTATCGACAATTGTTTGATGGGTTGATCCAAATTCACACTCCAAATCAGATTCGCGACACAGAAAGGTACAGATACCCCAAATAATCTTGAATGTTAATTTACATATGGTTGCAGTTAATTATGACTTCAGTTCATCGCAATCTTTGATATTATCAGAAACTATGGGTAAATAAAACCTATATAATCACAATTTTAGTCAAGATACAATCATGATGAACTCAAAAAATTTGACTTTGTGGCTAAGATTTTAAAACCTTGGCTATTTCTTTGTGGGCATGTTTTGTTTTATGCTGTGTTCATATGGGATTACTATTATTGAGCATTTTTTTTTTATATTTTTATTTCTATAGGGATGTGATTGTGAAGTAACTTATGCTAACTATTTTTTCAGTGTGAATAAAGAAAAAAATTTCATATGGCGACATATTTTCATAGTAACTCCGAAATTCAAGCCGGTGCTGACGGCCTTCAAACCCTCGTACTAATGAACCCCGGCTACGTCCAATACTCCGACACGCCGCCGCCGCCGCCACCCCACGGCGGAAATATCATGTTCCTCAACTCCGCCACCACCGTCGCCGGCAACACCTCCCTGCAGAGCCTCCCCCACGCGCCGTCCCCCCACACGCAGCAATTCGTCGGGGTGCCGCTGTCGGCCGCCGCGCAAGACCCGCCGCCGTCCATGCACCACGACGTCTCCGCCCTGCATGGCTTCCTGCCGCGCATGCAGTACAACCTGTGGAACACAATTGACCCCGGCGCGGCGGCGCGTGAGGCCTCACGCGCCGCCACCCGGGGGCTGTCGCTGAGCCTGCATGCGCAGCCCGGCGAGGACGTGCGCGCGTCGTCGTCCTCCGCCTCCGGCGCCTCCAACGGCGGCGGCGTGGCGGGGATCCAGAGCGTGCTATTGAGTTCCAAGTATTTGAAGGCCACGCAGGAGCTTCTGGACGAGGTTGTCAATGTTAACAGCGGAATTAAGGTTGAACAAGCGAAGAAGAGCTTCGAGAAAACTAAGGTGGTTGTTGAATCCTCAACCGCCGCTAGCGGCGACGGTTCTGCTGGCGGCGACGGAAGTGGGAAGCGTAGCTCAGAATTGTCAACTACTGAGAGACAAGAAATTCAGATGAAGAAAGCAAAGCTTATCAACATGCTTGATGAGGTACCCTTTTTAATTTTCTATTAATAACTGCATAAATAAATAATGCAAAAACTTGGATGCAGTTCTACGTTTATATTTATTATACGCTGTTCGTGGTTCAGAGTTTTTTTATTTTTTTTTTTCTTGTCAGAGCTATCCCACTAGGACAAAGATTAATCAGAATTGAAGTTTAATCTTGTTCCATTTGCAAAACTTTGCATTGAATGTTAACGTACATAATAAAACTTCAATTCTGATTCTAAGTATTTAGAATTACATCTTAATATTGTCAACTCTTTCAGTTATTAAATATGATTTTGGTGGCTAATGCTCAACCACCCAATAATATTGACATGGGTGCACAAGATTCATCTAATTATTTAAGCTTTAGAAGTGTTAAATTCAAAATTGTAATGGTGATCAAGAGTTTGTTCATGGGTTAATAATTATTTTTGAAGAATAGTTACTATATAGATTTTATTTTGTAGAAACATTATTTTGTGATTAAGTGATAAAAACATATTCTATACATTAATTTTATACTATCATTGGATCACAATATAATAACTATTTTAAAAATTATATCAACAATAATTTTTAATTAGTTGATGGTACAAAATTGATGATTAATAACTTTGTGATTTGTAATTAATGTATCTGAAATTTTTGGGGTTGAAGGTGGAGCAAAGGTACAGGCAGTACCACAGCCAGATGCAGATTGTGATATCCTCATTTGAGCAAGCTGCGGGTATAGGATCTGCGAGGACGTACACTGCACTTGCACTGCAAACAATTTCAAAGCAATTTCGGTGTTTGAAGGATGCTATAACGGGGCAAATTAGAGCTGCAAACAAGAGTTTGGGAGAAGAAGATTGTTTGGGGGGCAAAATTGAAGGGTCTAGGCTCAAATATGTTGACCATCATCTAAGGCAACAGAGAGCTATTCAGCAATTGGGAATGATCCATCACAATGCTTGGAGACCCCAGAGAGGGTTGCCAGAGAGATCGGTTTCTGTCCTACGTGCTTGGCTCTTTGAACACTTTCTGCACCCGTAAGAACACCATGATTTTCATGTTTCAAAATTTTTTGATCTTGTACTTTGAAGGTTCTTTGTGTTGAAACAACTTGAGTTTGGTTGGTTTCAGTTACCCCAAGGACTCGGACAAACACATGCTTGCAAAACAAACAGGGCTTACCAGGAGCCAGGTAAAACCATTACTGTTTAAGAATTCTTCTTTCTCTTAGATCCCTTTTGGGTAATTTTTAGAAAACACTTTTAAGGGAGAAAAATATGAAAGAAAATGAAATAAACTTTCTATTGACTTGTGCGTAAATTAATTTATAAAAGTTCTATCTTATTTTTAACTTATTCATACACTAGTTGAAAAAAAATTATTTTAAAACTATTTATTTTTCATATCGTCTTTCTTCAGTGTTTACAGAAAAATTAATCTAAATAGACACTTAATCATAGTTAAAGATGAGTAATAGTTAAACACTCTTTATTTTAAGTTAAACACTCTTTCTTATGTACTTTTTATTATTAGTTAAAATTTATTAAAAATTATAAAATGAAAGGGGTTAACTAAACTGTAAGCCAGAAATTTTTATAATATCTAATACACCCTGGTCAATAATAAAAATTTGTCTTAAAAATAGCATGTTAAATAATACGTTGTTGACACTTGTTATATTTTAGCACGATAAATGTTAACAAGCTAGAGATTCTGTCATCTTATCTTATGTACTCTTTGTTATTTTCTGAAATTTATTAAAATTCACCAAATTTAATTAATAATTTGCATTTCACATTGAAACATTGATCATGTTAATGAATGTCTGGTAATGGAACAGGTTTCAAATTGGTTCATAAATGCAAGAGTTAGGCTCTGGAAGCCAATGGTGGAGGAAATGTACTTGGAGGAGATGAAAGAGCATGAACTAAATGGGTCTGAGGAGAAATCAAGCAAGAGTGGTGAAGATCCTGCTTTGAAAACACCAACCTCACAAGAGAAACGTCCTACCTCAGAAATCGAATCTAAAAGCTTCAGTTCCAAACAAGATGTTTCCAAAAGCCACAACACTCAAATAGCTTCAACTTCACCATCAACATCACCTACTGGGGGAAATCTCAAGAACCAATCAGGATTCAGTTTCATGGGATCATCAGAGCTAGATGGAATCACACAAGGAAGTCCTAAGAAACCAAGGAACCATGAAATTCTACACTCTTCGAACTTGGATGTGAAATCCAATGAGGCAAGCAATGAACAACTTTCAATGGACGAGAGACAAAGCAGGGATGGATACTCTTTTATGGGAAACCAAACAAATTTCATTAGTGGTTTTGGACAATACCCTATGGAGGAAATTGGTAGGTTTGATGCTGAGCAATTCACACCAAGGTTTCCAGGTAATGGAGTTTCCTTAACTCTTGGTCTTCCACATTGTGACACATTGTCAGGGACACACCAAACCTTTCTCCCAAACCAAAACATTCAACTAGGAAGAGGGTTGGACATTGGTGAACCAAACCAGTTTGGTGCCTTGAACAATTCCACTTCTCACTCTTCAGCAGCATTTGAGAGCATCAACATGCAGAACCCGAAGAGGTTTGCTGCACAATTGCTACCAGACTTTGTGGCCTAAATAGATAGTTGGTAACATTGGTTATATATGGGTTAAGGGTCTCTCATATTTTCTTCTAATCCATGTGCTTGTTATGGGGAGTAGTGATAAATCTTAGTGTAAAGAAAGAAGGAAATTTACTCTAGTATAGGTTTATACCTTTGCATAGAACCATTTGAGTTCTTAGATAGTTTAGAGATTTGAAAGTATATGGTTATTTGAGGTTGTATATTATTTTTGTAATTTTTGAAAATGGGATAGATGGGTTGGTGTCATAAAATTTCAATTGGTAAAGATAAGAATATATCTTCGATTGAGAGTATATGTCATGTAATATTTTGCAAATGCTCACTCACCTTTGTTTTTCAGAGTAAGGAACCTGCTTATGCTTTGGTGGCTTTCATAAATCAAACAAAATGGAATATTGAAATAAGAAATTATATTTACATAAAAGATTCCCAGTGGGGCTTTGCATTAGTGGTTTTTGCCTTCATGTGTTGGGGCATAGGGAGTTATTAGCAAAGGCACAAGTGGAGCAATGTGGTAAGGAATGCTTGCCTAATTAAAGGAAGATTCTCCTCATTTATTTTGTTGTGGCATGGGAGTAAGGAAAATGATGGTTGCCCAAACTCTAAATGACATCTCTATATAATACAAAGATCTTTCATAGTCATATATCATTATTTAATATTATGACTATGATTATATTTTTTTATCAATTCATAGAAGCATTATATAGAAAGGATACAAATTTATATACAATTACTAAAAAGAAACATATCATCTTCAAAAACAATAATTGTATTTTATTTATCCAAGACAACACGATGGATAAATAAAGAAGAGTTAATCACCTATACACTATTAATATAAAGTATTTTTATACTGGTAACTAATTATATTTTTTAATTGTACCATGTCATTGTAAACACATTTACTTTTAACAGTGACATGACACAATTAAAAGATATAATTAATTGCTAATGTAAAAAACTTTACATTAATAGTGTATAGATGATTAACTCAATAAAAAATAGCCATATAATAAAGATTAGATCCCCTGTCTATATAGTTAGCTTAAGCCAACATATATGCTGGCTTAATCAAAATTGAGAAACCTTCACCAATTCACTCCTAATTTTGCTTAAGCCACAACTTTCTCACTTAAGCCAAACCTTAGAGAATTATGTGCAGCCTGAAATTGGCTTAAGCTAAAAAGATTTCGCTTAAGCCAATATACCTTCTTTCTTCTTCCTACATTTTGAAACAAGCAACAGACAACCCTCATCCCCAACACATCTCAAATTAGTTTAAAGTACACACTGTTGGGCTAGATAACCATTGAACAAATGTGTAACTAAAATTTGGTTCAAAAGCTTTCATCCAAGACCAACTATAGAACAAAGTATCTTGAATGATATTGTCTCTATGAAAATATTTACCTGTGAAAATGACGTGGTTTCTGTGATTCCAAATAACCCAAACTATCACACGACATATACTTCCATTTTTTCTTCACATCGATAGAATATTTATAGATATCATGCTGCCAGAAGTGCATGACTGCTGACTCTGGCAAAGTTGTAGAGATATTCACCCATGAATAGCAAAGCTTCCATATTTCGTCTACCTTTTCTCAACAAACAAAATAGGATCCAAGGTTTCATCTTCACACTAACAGAACTTGCATTTAATGTCATTAGGCATTGCTACATTCCTCTTCATTATGTTATCTCTTGTGGGCAACTTGTTGTTCATCACTCTTCATAAATAAATAAATAAAAACTTAGAGTTTTGGTGGGCCATTGATTCTCCAAATGTGTGAGAAAATATCCATTTGTTGGCTACCCAATATTTCAGCACTTTGAACTTTATATGTTGATCTAATTGAGTATAAGCTTGTAGGTTCAGTTGTCCAAAGCCACCTTTCTGTTTCTCCATATGTTATAGTAGTCTTCAATAATATTCCCTACAACAATCAATCCTGACTCCACTCAAAACAATTCCTTCTCCAACAAAAATTCCACTTCCAATTTTCTCCTAAGTCCTACCCACATTCCCATATTTGCTATCATCTCTTCTTTTTGTTGGGAGATCAAATATAGTCTAGGAAGTATGTGTGCTAATGACTTTGGGCCAGCCCACCTATCATGCCAAAATTTTGTTTTCCCCACCCTCTAACTTTCAAATCTATCATTATCAAACCAATGTGCATCATTTTGCCTTCCACATACACTAACAAAATCCCTCCACTAAATAGAAGAATTTTTCCCATCATCTTGATCATTTAAACCCCTCCATCCTCTATATTTTGATTCCAATATATTACTCCACAAAGAACCCCTTTGATAAAAGAGCTCCCATTTCCACTTTACTAGAAACACCTCATTAAAGATAGGAATTCTTTTGATTCCCAATCTCCCATGGTTTTCTGGCAAACAAATTTTATCCCAACTCACCCAAACGATTTTCTTTCTACCCACCTCACTACCCTCACAAAAAATTCCTTGGGATACTAACAATTCTCCTCATCACAATTTTGGCATTTTAAAGAAAAGAAAGGTAAAGTAGAGGTAAAGAAGATAACACTGACTTAATGAGACACACTCCCCACAAAAGACATAATTTTGTGTTTCCAACCCGACATTTTTTTCTCAAATTTTTTAACATGTTTTCAAATTTATTCTCTCCTAAGGTTACCTCTAATAAGAATGCTAGATACTCAAAAGTAAATAATAGAAATTTACAATTAAGAAAATTGGCATACCTTAGAACTATGTATGTGATGATTGATGGTTTGTTTGTTTGGGTACATGAAAAAACGATATGTATGAAGCCGAGAGTTATAATTTCACTACTGTTATACTAATTATTAGATATAATCTCTCAAATTAAAATAAAATAGAAATGTTGGATAAAATAGCCTGAATTATTATTTGTTTTATTTTAAACAATCCAAGCATAATTAATTAAATTCCATTTTAGATTATTTGATTTAAGAATTTTTCTTCATTTTATCATAAGAAAAATGGTTAATTTATCCATCCACGAATTGATTATAATAAAGTGATATTAATTGTAGTTGATTTTAATAATAATTACAATAAAGTTATTTGACTAAATATATACAAATTAATCGAAAAGTGCAAACAGTAGTTACTTGTAAAGAAAAAAAATTGGTACACAATAAATGTTAGTTAACATCTGGAGAGTAAAAGAGAAAGAAGTGTAAATATAATTTATATATGATAGGAAGAGAGAGAGAGAGATGTTTGATGAAATTTTTAATATATAAAAATATTTTATATTAACACTCTAATTGTAGTTAAATAAAATAAAATAATTGCAAAATATGAAAGAGATTATGGTTCTTTTTTATTTATTCACATTACAATAATTACTACAAGATTTGAAATTTATTTTGACAGAAACATCTTTTATTAAAATTAGTTTTCGTTGTGTATCAGAAATACAACATAAATTAGTTTTCATAAAAGTCCTTTTGTGAAAAAAGAAAAATTGCAGTTTTTTTTTTAAGGCAAAGGGATGGTGCGAATAATAACACCCTTTTTATAATCTTTTATGTTAGACACTGCCTTGGACCCAAAATTTTGATACTGCAAGCCCTTCTATATAATTTTTTTTAACTCTCTGTCTCTAATGGGATGAGAAAAAAATTGTTAAATCCAAGCTTGGTATGTTCTGCATTTTTTCCTTCTTTCTTTCCCT